GGTGCTGGTGATTAAGAACACCTTAGAAACACACAAACAGACAGAGGACTAGCAGGTAGGTTTGTCAGGACACAAAGGCTGCAGCAATGTTTTTTGTGCCATGCTGCCTCTGGTAAGCGTCCACCAACAGATGCCACCATTTCTGAGCAGAGCTTAATGAAAGTGGGCTGCCATCGACATGTGGTGCATAACTGATGAGATGAATTTCAGAGAATAGTGTAAGCAAATTTATTAGCGATCGCAGAGAGAATCCCACTGTGAAAGTTGGTGAAAGTGACACTAAGTTGATTTCTGGTAAAATTCAGACCTGTATTGTTATCCCAGTAACATTGCCAGAATATTATCTTCCTCCATGCCTATTCAACTATGAATTATTGCAGTTCCACAATGCCTACTTCCATATTCCCAACAGAGTAAAACCATCCTATCTTACGAAGAACTTGACTATCTCAATATGTACTCATAGATAAAACTTTTATCTCTAACAAAACATGTCACTTAATTCCTTCTTCTCAGAAATTGTGAGCCCCATTTTAAAAGGATGGGATTAGGTGGTCACTGGCAGTCAGTGGGCTGTTCATTGTCCTAGGCAAAGGTGACTTTGTCCAGTATCTTATCAGAGTGGAGTGTGGTGATATTGGTAGATTGTGGTGGGAACATGGCTGACTGCAATGGCCAATCTACACCAAGAAGGTTCTGCAGCAAATAAGACAAGTTGCCACAGCATTTTGAGTGAACTGCTGGCTCAGGATTCCTCTCCTTGCATTTTCTTTCTGCTTCCAACTTGCACTTCTTTTTTGAAGTCTAAACTGTTTTTATTTCGGTTGTGCAAGGTGTAGCGATCATTGGTGAGTTTCTCCCAGTACTCAGCGTCAGTATCAGAACTCCTAGGTCAAGCCTTTAGAGTGTCTTTTTCGTGCTTCATTTGACAGCCATGAGAGCATGCCACAGGCTTGAGCTCTCCATAGAAGATTTGCTTTGGCAAGTTAGTGTCAGGCATTCCAGCCAAATGTCCAAACCACCTCAGCTGTGAGACTGTCTCCATGTTTGGCATGAGCACCCTCAATTACTACACCTGCTTTGTCAATTCTTGTATGTATCCCATCACTGCTCAAGAAAGAATGCTGTCACGATAAGTGAGTATGCCCAATGCTGACAGGCCTGGTTATGGATCTTAGGTTTGAGATTGGTGTGGTATGATGGGATTTATGTGAATCAGTTTTTTACATGATGCAAAAACAGAAGTTGCTGGAAAAGCTCAGCAGGTCTGGCAGCATCTGAGAAGAAAAAAAATCAGAGTTAATGTTTCTGGTCTGGTAACCCTTCATCAGTGGGGAGGTGATGGCCTGGTGGTATTATCACTGGACCGTTAATTCAGAGACCCAGACAATGTTCTGGGGACCCGGGTTCAAATCATCACCATGGCACATGGTGGAATTTGAATTCAATAAAATATCTGAAATTAAGAGTCTAACAATGACTGCGAATTGTTGGGGGGATACACATCTGGTTCACTAATGCCCTTTAGGGACGGAAACTGCCTTACTTGGTCTGGCCTACATTTGACTCCAGACTCACACCAATGTGGTTGACTCTGGGCAATTAGGGATGGGTAATAAATGCTGCCTAGCCAGCAATGCCTTCATCCCATTAATGAATATAGAAACTCTGATTGTTTCTTCACAGATGCTGCCAGACCTGCTGAGCTTTTCCAGCAACTTCTGTTTTTGTTCCTGATTTACAGCATCCGTAGTTCTTTCGGTTTTTGTTTACATGATGCAATTGTTTTACATGACTCTGATTTCAGTGAGAGAAAATACCAGTCTAAAACGAGCATGTGAAGAGAACAATCTTAGACGCCACACTAGCCTAGAGAGCTGTACTTGAGAAATTACCATGTTGCCTTGTAAATAAAGGAGTTTTACAGTACCTGAGGAATTGAAAAGCCAAAACACAGAATTGTGGATGCTGAAGATCTGAAACAAAAGCGGAAATTCCTAGAGAAACTCAGCAGGTCTGGCAGCATCTGTAGAGGGAAAGCAGAGTTAATGTTTCAAGTCCAGTGACCCTTTAGACTTAGTTAGAGATAAGGAATAAACTGCTTCAGAGTCAAAGCTTGTGCAGGCACTTATCCAAGATATGCCAGACCTATATCTCAATAGTAGTATTGGCTTAAAGCACATGATAAAGCAATTGTGCTCGTTTGAAACAGACTGGCACATTACTTCAGTTTTATTTACGCTGATCATAAGACTGAAGTTGTCAGGAGCAAATTACTGCAGACGCTGGAATCTGTACTGAAAATGACAAAAACACTGGAGGTGACAGCGTCCATCGAGAGAGAGCAAGCTAATGTTTCAAAGCTAGATGACTCTTCGTCAGAGCTGAAGTGAAGTATGGAGGGGGCAGCATTTATGCTATTGTTGAGAGGAGTGCAGGCTTTGGGGGCATTGGTGTGTTAGTGGCAGATCTCCACTAACACTCTACACCCAACCATCGCCACAAACACCCCACCCCACCCCTCCAAAGCCCGCACCCCGCCAACTGAAGTAGTCACATGATTTGGAGAACAAGTGCAAGCAACATTACATGGTAGCTCTGATCCAGCAAGTATTGCACAGTCACAGACAAACAGACTTTGTGAAGTATTTTCTTGCAGTTGTTGATCTTGGTCCAGAGCAGTCCCAGCTTGAGCAGCTTCCTGTCCGTGTGCCCATCATGCTGACCTCAGCATCACCATCAGGGAAGGTATAGTTGAGAAAGGTGGAGAAAATCAAAGAAAGTTAGCACTAACACACAACCATGCAAAATTCCATTATTAACTGGTATTGAGTCAAAAGACTCACCATTATCCATACGAGCCTGCTATCATGAACTGTCTAACTCTTGGGCAGCCAGTGTTAACCAACACTGGAGGTAATCGGGGTGTGAGAGAAGTGATATCCCACCATTATCAGAGGAAGGCTGGAGCTTGGAAAATCAGGGGCAGTTTTCTGGATCTCAGGCAGATTTTCTGTTCCTCCCGGCCCACATGGAGTTTTTAAAAATGTCATTTTAATAAAACAAAGCTTGGCCTTATCCAGCTTGTTTATTTTCTCATTCTGTGGTTCTAATACCAAGCTGTAGGACATTCCCAGCATGAATAAAGGGATGATGACTGTGAACTGATGAATTGAAAATGCAAAACCTTTGTTCAAAACAAAGGTCTCAGCACAAACAAAACAACTACAGACAGATCAACTTCAGTAGGAAAGTATTCAAATTCTATGATCCAAGACAAGTTTAACAGTTGCTGGGGACATGTATAGATCAATTAAGGAAAACCAATGGGCATTTGTTAAAGACACGTTGTGTTTAATTAATTTGTTTGAGTTTTTGGTTTGTGTAAATAGGTTGATGAAGACAGTACAGTTCATTTGGTCAAAGGGATTTCAAAAGGCATTTCATCAGGTAACAGGTTTGTCTGGAAAGTTAAAGCTCCTGGAATGAAAAGAAAGATGACCGCACTGATATGAACCAAAAAAAATGCTGGAGAAACTCAGCAGGTCTGGCAACATCTGTGGAGAGAGAAACAGAGTTTAACGTTTTGAGATGGTATGACTCGCCTTCAGAATAGAACAGTTAGTGGTTTGTAGTCAGGAACAGAACAGGGTTGGAGGTTTAATTTGAGGAGCTATACATCAAGACGTTACAGCCAAGCTAGTGAGATGGGCAAAGACATATGGCACAGGCAGAATGTATGTGCATCTCTTATTGTTTATAGTCAGTATGTTTTGGACATAAAGAAGTGTTGCTTTTCTCACCTTTGGAGAATATATTTCAATTAAATAATTTAGCAGCAATATGTCATGGAGTTAAAAATGGGTGATTTATTGTCTCTCACACACATTATATAAATATAGCCCACTTTTACAGTTTACAATTAATTTAGTCTCTGATTTAAAATTCCAGGACTCCTACATGACAAGCTTGTGATTTAATGAATAGATTTGGTGATTTAATGTTGAAGAGAAAGATTTACGGTAGGTTGTGAGGTTTATTGTAGTCAAATATCTGTTGTGCTCGTTCTCAGGTGAATCTTAAAACTGGAATAAGGAAAGTACTTTGACTGTTTAATGATTTGCAGCTAGTTTCAGAGTCTCGCTCCCAAGCTGTTTGATGACTGATAGTTCCAATGGATTTGCTGAATGCAGCCCCTGAACCCAGTTTTGATCACATGACAGATGGGTTGACATTTTTGGGGCTCACACAGTACAGTTTGTGGGAAGCCATTGCGATACCATTGGAAATCAATACTGGCCATTGGGTTTTGATCATCCCTTCAGTCCAGTATGTAACATTGTGATATAAATTATGTGATTTATACATATTTTTAATATTATTTGAAGTTTGGGTTTTGAATTATTGGTTAACCCATCAATTAGTTTAGTTTGTGAGGGCTACTTTGGAACATTAATTTTTTTTTGACTTTAGGATTTTATGACATATCAAGTTAGACAATTGAGCTTCAGGTTTTCTGTTAGAAATTTCTGAACTGGGAGGTTTACTTCAAGCTTAAGGAAAACACGCATAGTAGAGATACAGAGACTTTTGTTTCAGGTTTACTTGTTTTCAGTAGTTCTGTGAGAAGCATATATTAAGCAGTACTCCTGATAAGGGGGGTAATTAATAAAACCAGATTGCTTTAAGTTAATGATAGTACCAAACCAGACTGTTGGCATAAAACCCTGAAGAGCACTTTAAGCTGAGTTTGTTAAAGTCAGTTCATGATATTTATAGAGCTATCATAGGTTCGAGTCTAGGACTAGTTACCTTAAACCTATCAGTGTTAGAAAGAGGGATTCTGGTGTGAGCACTGACCAAGAGGTGTTGTTGGGTACTGTACAAATATTTTTAAACTTGTGGAGGGGTGTCACAGGATTCACGGCATTATATTTTTACTTTGTGTTTAAAGATCATTGAATTTGTGTTGTAACTAAATAAATTGATGTATTTTATTTTATCTTCATTTCTTTTAATAAAGAAGCTTCAGTTTTACAGTTAAAACAAACTCCGAAACATTGTCTGCTTCTGGCTCAGTGACAGACCACCTCATTAAAACCAATACAAAACATGATTTATCAAGCCAGATTACAGACTGGGAATTAAAACAACACTGTGACAGGCAGTGTGGAAACCCAGTAGCCTTTAGTTTAAAGAATGAAATCTTTGAAATCCACAACTGGCTGTAAGGTATCTTTGTCTACATTCATATTTAATCAGGTATTTGCTGGAGACCTGACATTGTCTGTAGTCGAAAAACCAAAAAAAAACACATGATTTGTGGTAGCTATCTTAAAAGCACATGTTCAAACTTTTAAAAGTATTCACTGAAAGTTCATAATATGATATGTCTATGTTTATCATGGGAAGTAGCAGATGAAAATTAATGCAGAGAAGTGTGAAGTGATATATTTTGGTAAAAGAATGAGGAGAGGATATAATAGAGGATGCAATAGAGGATAAAATAGAGGATACAATTCCAAATGGGGTGCTAGGACATGGAGGGTTCATATGCACAAATCTTGGAAGGTGAGGACGATCTGGGAGTGCAGTTGATAACTGGATCCATGGTTTCATCAGTAGCGGCCCAGTGTATCAATGCAAGCAAGTTATGTAAACCTGTGTAAAACATGAACTCAGCATTAACTGGAATATTGGGTCTAATTCAGAGCACCACAGTATAGGAAATATGTAAAAGATTTAGAGATGGTGCAGACAAGATTTATGAGACTAATTTCAGGATGGTGCATTTCTGTTGCTTGGATAGATTGGAGAAGCTGAGGTTGTATTTCTTTGAGAAGTTTAAGAGGAGATTTGATAGTCGTGTCTGTAAGGATGTGGACAGAGTATGTAGGGAGAAATATTTCCTTCTGGTGGAAAGATCGGGACAAGGAGATATGGATTTAAGGTAGTTGGCAAATGAGCCAACAATGACACAAGAAAAAACACTTTTATAATACAGTGAATAGTTAGGATCTGGATTAGCACCTGAAGAGCAAAACATTGTTAGCTGCAGGGAAGGGATATCTGTGATTTCCTCTTGCAGACAGCTGCCACACACTTGATGGGCTGAATGGTCTCCTTCTGCGCTGTAACCATTTTATGATACAGTTCCATCACTCACGCACATGATCACCTGCACACTTTGTAAATTAATTTCACCAGGACAGAATATTGACCACAAAGGAAAGAACATGAATCTTTTATTATATATATAAAAAAAAACTCACATTACAAACATAACTGAGCGTGCTTCAGTGAAACCCTGAGGCTCATGAGCACTGTATTCCTGCCCAATACAATGTGAAGCCTGTGTGATTTTTCTTGAAGTCGGGCTGTGTTTGTTCAATTCTCTCCTCCACCATCACTGTGCGTTTTTTGCCGCGCATGTTGCAATTGATTGGGTTGCTGACGTTGACCTGCAGAGGTATCTTATTCCTGGAGGGAAAAAAAGAGTAAGCAGTGAATGGCTGGAAAGAAAATTCCTGATAATAATTCTGGGAGATGAATGTGGGGTAAATTTTGAACTCCTAGTGCCATTGATGGCAAAGTAAACGGTGATTCTGATGCACAATGAGGAGCAGGTGAGGACTCTGAATCTGTACTCAATGGAGTTCAGAAGGATGAGGGGGGACCTCATTAAAACTAACAGAATATTGAGAGGCCTGAATAGAATTGACGTGGAGAAGATGTTTCCACTAGGAGACTAGGACCCGAAGGCACAGCCTAGAATGAAGGGATGACTCTGTAGAACTGAGATGAGGAAGAATTTCTTCAGCCAGCGGGTGGTTAATTTGTGGAAGTCATTGCTGCAAAAGGCTGTGGAGGCCTGTCATTGAGTATATTTAAGACAGATATAACCACGTACTTGACTAGTGAGGGGATCAAGGGTTACAGGGAGAAGGCAGGAGAAAGGGGTTGAGAAACATATCAGTCATGATTGAATGGTGGAGCAGAATCGATGGGCTGAATGGCCTAGGCGGCCACAAAGAGAGTGCAGAAGGATATAGGTATTTGTGTGGTGAAGAACAAGGCAGATGCAATACAGTTCAGTAAAGCGTGAAGTTGCCCATTTTGGTAAATGGAAACAGAATTATTTTGAATATTAGAGGTATATTTACAGAGAATGTATTCAGACAGACCTGAATATCCTTGCATAAGAACACAGAAATGAAACGGGTATATACAACATGAAATTAGGAGACAAATGATACGTTAGCTTTCATTACTAAGGAATGAGAGAAAAAGAATAAATACATGTTGCTACAATTATATAGTGTACCCGTGAAGCCACACCTGGAGTATTTGTGTGTGGTTTTCGGTCTCCTTGCCTGAAGGATATACTTGCCTTGAAGGGAGCAAACAAAGATTCAGTAGGAAAGTTTTTGGTATAAAACGAGAGGATTAGTATGCTGGGTTTATATTCCTTGGAATTAGAAGAGCAAGAGGTGATCTCATTGAAACATCTGAAATTAAAAATTTGCTTATGCAGCACTGATTAAAAAACAATTCTCCATGGATAGGCAAAGACACAGGATGCTATTGAGTGACCTGTGCAGGAACATCTGTTAATATCAAAATGTGGCTTAAAAATATCCTTGTTAACTTTAATTAATATTGCTATCCACACAGCAATGTAGAAAATGGCCTAGGTATGTCCTGTACACAAACAATTAACCCCTCCTCAGTCTGTTTTTGAATATGAATAAAATGATGGAAAGGGTCCTTAAGTAGCACTTGTTTAGCAATAACCTGTTCACTGATGCTCAGTTTAGATTCCACCACGGCCTCTCAGTTCCTGATCTTATTGCAGCCTTAGCTCAAACATGGACAAAAGAGCTGACCTCCAGAGGGAAGGTGCAGGTGACAGCCCTTGACGCCAAGGCTAAACCAGTGTGACAGATCTGGATGCAGTCTGGGTCCAAATGTAACAAGACTCGGTCAATACCCGGGATTGGGCTGAAAAGTGACAAATAACATTCATGCCACACAAGTACCAAGCAATGACTATCTCCAATAAGAGACAATCTAACCGCCACCTCTTGACATTCAATGGAATCCCTCAGGATCAACATTCTGGGGGTTATCATTGAACAGAAGCTGAACTGGACTAGCCACAAAATACAGTGGCTACACGACCGGGTACAACAAGTGGACTGCTGCTGCTCAAAACCATCTTCTCAAAGGCAATAAATGCTGGCTCAGCCAGTGAAGCCCACATGCCCTGAATGATTAAAAAAAATTAAAAATAATTAGTCTGTAATTTTCCACATGCCAAAATTATTCTGACCCATTTCATTGACTGCAAAATATCCCACCATTGGAGCGAGGATGTCGAGCTTATATTTGTTGGGTTTATTTCTCTCCCCTTTTTAAGCATCTGTAACATTTGCAACCTATTTGTCCTCTGCACCACACCTATACCTAAATAGGTTTGAAACTGTGTGGCCAGTAACTCCACAGTTTTAAGAGAGTTAGAATAGAAAGGATGAAAAGCATTCATTTCCAGGGTTAATAGTTGAGCTAGAAATTGTGCAAACACTCAGAATTAGACTGGATAGACTGACAAATGGAAAGGGGTTGAAATGATATGGAAATAGGGTGGGTACGTGTTTACATAATAATAACACAGAAAAATGAGAATGGACCCTACAGAGCTTTGTAAAATTATTTATAGAATAGAAATGTTTACCACTGAGTGCTATATCAAGGCAAACCATGAAATCAGGCCAGGGGACAACAGCATGTTGGTAAAAAAAGTAAGGCCAGGGCTTCACACATACAAAAAAGGAATATTTTCACTATCCTCCACTGATTATATTGGGCTGGAACACCAAATCGTGACAGTGCCTCGATATTTTACTGCAGGTACCTCTTCTCTCAGAGGGATGTAAGTCTTTAAAACTCTTTGCCACAGAGAGCTGTGGGGCAGAGTGCCTGTTTATATGTAAGACTGAGATACAAAGATTCTTAATCAGTAGGAGAATCAAAAGTTACAGGGAAAAGACAGGAAAGTGGAGTGGGGAATATCAGAACAGCCATGATCCTCCTGGATGGTGGAACAGGCAAAAAGGGATGAACAACTTACTCCTGTTCCCTTTTTTTAACGGTTTTTCTTATTATGGGCTTATGGTATGCCAAAGTTGCAGGCCTTTGGTTTTAATTCATTCGTGGGAGCCTTGTTGAATTTCTGCAGCACACGTTGTAGATGGTACACACTAATGTCAATGTATGCTATTGGAGGAGGGAGTGAATGTTGAAGGTGTTAGTTGGTCTGTCAGACAAGCAGCTGCTATGTCCTGGATGGTGTCCCGATTCATAAGCATTGTTGGAGTTGCACTCAATCAAGAAAGTTGGGAGTATACCATCACACTCCTGATTGTGCCTCGTTGATAGTGGATAGGCTTTGACAAGATGTGTCACTCACCACAAAGTTCCTAGTCTACAGCTTGCTCTTGTAGCCATGGTGCTTATATGGTTAGAAATTTCCTGGTCAATGGTAACCCCCAGTAAGTCGATCATGGAAATTTAATGATGAATACCAAAGAGCAATGATTGAATTCTTTCTTGTTGGAGATAGTTATTACCTGGCCCTTTGTGGAGTGAATGTTACTTGCCACAAGTCTACCTCAGCCATAATGGAGACTGAACCCCATGCCACTGTCATAAATGTCATCCATATATTAGCAGTCTAGTCAACAGAGTAAACTGCAGCACTTCACACTCCCAACCATAAAGGTAGGCCTAGCACCAAACTAACTCTGATAATGTGGCTGGCTTGATTTTAAATAGGGTTTACTGTGGATGTTCAAAAAGAGTCTACTACAGAGACCCTTCCTATTATGGAAATCAGACTACTCCTTTGGGTCCCACAAAGATCATCTGGGCCAATGGTAACCTGAGACCCCTATCTTTCATGTTGATAACCTGCCCTGTAACATTACCATGATGGCAGTGACTGCTTTTGTCCTATACTGGGGCTTCCATCTGAAAAACAACACTAGAGAGACTTGTTTGATGATGTACAACTAGTCTGCCTGATTGAAGGGAAGTCAGGGATTGCTTCACTGCAAGAATGGACAGCCAATTACGCTCATATGTTGGTTAGTCAAAACTAATCCCTATTCCGGGTGCAGGAATGAGGTTCAAATTTCTTAAACAAACGCATAGAATGTGTTTGAGAAAGGATGTACTGGCACTGGAGGGGGTGCAAAGGAGGTTCACTAGGTTGATTCCGGAGTTGAGGGGGTTGGCTTATGAGGAGAGACTGAGTAGATTGGGATTATATTCATTGGAATTCAGAAGATTGAGGGGGGATCTTATAGAAACATATAAAATTATGAAGGAAATAGATAAGATAGAAGTAGAGAGGATGTTTCCACTAGCAGGTGAAGCTAGGACAAGAGGGCATAGCCTCAGGATTAGAGGGAGCAGATTTAGAACTGAACTGAGAAGGAATTTCTTCACCCAGAGGGTTGTTAATCTATGGAATTCCTTGCCCAGTGAAGTAGTTGACACTACTTCAGTAAACGCTTTAAAAAAAAGGTAGATTTTTTTTGAACAATAAAGGAATTAAGGGATACGGTGAGAACGCAGGTAAGTGGATCTGAGTCCATGAACGGATCAGCCATGATCTTATTGAATGGCAGAGCAGGCTCGAAGGGCCAGACGGCCTACTCCTGCTCCTAGTTCTTGTGTTCTTGTGTTTCACCAGCACTTTCTGTGTTTGTTTCAGATTTCAGCATGGACTGGTTGGACTCAAGGGTTTGCTTCTGTGCTGTATGACTCTATGACTCTATGATTGTCAGTATTTAATAAAAAATGTAATTACCAAAAGGATGAACTAGAGACTGAACTATGTCCCTCACTTACACATTCCTAAGAAATATGGATTTAAAAAGAAATCAGCAGCTGATAGGAGCAGAAACAAAAAGAGAGTCAAAGACCTGACTGTTTCCCTCTATAATGTGTTCAGAGAATGGGTTCATTCAGATATTTGCAGGGCCTCTTGGTTAAATTATCTCTGAGGTTCACCCAAGGCCGCCTTTGCACAAAAGAAGTGCTGTAGCATTCTGATTCTTCCACTACAGTGCACCCTGCATTTCCTCCTGTACATCTCAAAAAAATTCCTTCACTTCTGTGCAATCACGCTTAGACATGATAGGATGCTATTGCCACAGATAATTCTTGAATTCAGCAGAAGCCTAGTTTCTGGAGGCGCCTTGGTTAATGCATCATTGTAGAATGTGTCCCAGGGTTCACAGTCTGACTGGATCTTTGCCTGTATATTGGAGCAAAAGTCAACATTAAAGACATTGGGCAGAGATCAGGCTTTTGTGTCAGTTTCAGACACTGGTTACTGAGTTCTGTATTCCGAACATTAGCTCACAAGAGAAGCTACCTAATTTTCACTTTTCTTAAAGGCATTGAGTCTTACT